CCCTCAGTAATTCATTCCAGACCATAACCATGACCTAACTGAAAAAGTTTATTCTTTCTTTTGCCAATTACTTTAACTCTGTGCCTTCATTCTTGATCCTTTCTTGAGTGAGAATAGTTTTCCCTATCGACTGTATCCAGACCCTTCATGATTTAGAAAACCTCTATCAAATCTCCACTCAGAATTTTCCTCCAAGGAAAAAATTCTAATCTTTCCAATCTCGTTTTCCTTTGCTTTAATGTAAATTGTAGCCAAACAGCATAGGAGTTGTCTGTTGAGCAGGAGTTGAGCAGGTATTTGCTTTTCTGTGGTCCTAATGCTTTGCTAGATCATGATACTAAATGCTTCTGATTAAACTGGTTATAATCGTGCTTGCAATAGGCAGAAGAAATATTCCTGAAAATGATCATTGAATCAGATATGGTTAGGTGTTCTTTTTCTGAACTCATAAGAGATTCCTTTCTGGCCTGGAGTGTGATTGCAAATGTTGCAATTTTCTGAAACATCCCTGGGTGTGAGAGTCTCAATAAGAATTCCATTTTGCATTAGCTTCATCCTAGTTTTGCCTCTTTAAACTATTTTTGCACTCTTTCTTTCCCCTTTCAGTTTGCTATTATAAACATTTCTGGGCACTTGGACCTATTTTGAGAACTTATACCAGATACAGTAATAGTTAATTGTGCTTAAAGGGGCGCAGAATTTAAATTGCACTTCTTGTGATCAAATCATTGCCACTACTGAATAATCTAAAATATCAACACAAAGCATCAGTGAGTACTATAACACTGCTTCTGTCATCCCTGTTCTTTGCCTGTCTCTTTCCAACTCCGTTCTGAGTGCAAATAATAATCTTAAAGATAACAGAAAAGAGGGTATGAGCAAAATTCAGGCTTTGATAACAGGAAAGATAGATAGAAATGCTGGGAACATTAGAAGTCATACAATGAGAAGTAAGAATAAATTATATGTTAAAAATAAATCAGGAGTGATAAATTAGGAAAATATATTTATTACCTGCATTGCAATGTTGTATATCATTAGCAACCAAAACTATAGTATGAAAGTAAGTTTTAAAAGCGTATCTTAAAGCATATAGACAGGGTGGGGATATCCAATTTGACATTCTTTTCATTGAATGCATGTAGCTTTAAAATAAAAGCAAATGTGTCGGAAATGAAGACTTAGCTAAAGGGTACAGTGTGATGGTGATTACTGAGGCTTAACCACAAAGTAGCATGTTTGGAAACTTAAATATTCTAGTCTACAGGACCTTTAGAATGGGTAGCACATTGGGAAAGTAGAAGTAGAAATATTGATTAAAAACACAATTACATACTGGAAAATCAGGATTTTGGTAAGGCTGAGTAGGACAGCAAGGATAGAGTATGTTGGGGAAGCTTTCTTTGATATAGTGGGGCAATGTATAAATGTGCAGATCAGGGCATGTAGCATGGACGTATAGTTATAATGGGAGATTTTAATTTTTGACTTTGAGCAAAACAGAATACCCCAATAATAATGACAATAACTTCTAAACTATAATTGGGAGAGTTTTCTGGAATAGTATATATAAGTAGGATTTGTTACAGTAAGGAACTATCTTCTGAGTAGTGATTTGATTGAATTGAATTTGATGGCAGGTTTGAGAGAAAAAAACAAGAGTCACATAACAGAATTTCTAACTTAGTTAAGACAAACTGCAAAGCAAAAAAATAAATAAATTGACTCCGTAAGATTGGTGAACTGAACGTTCAAACAAGTTTTTGGAACAATACAAAACCAGGATATACATCTAAGAGGTAAAAGTTCCAGTTATGCAGTTAAATAACGTTCAGCAACAAATGTTGTACAGGGATTATCAAACTAAAGGAAAGGCATACATAAATGTATGAAATAGTATACATTCAAAAGACAGAGAGCAAAGTAAAAACACAAAGGATTACAAAGAAAGTACTGAGAGGTCTAAAATGGCAATATGAAAAAGGTATGTAGAAAACTTCAAAAAATCAAAGCTAAGTACAGATTCTTACAAAAAGATTAAGAAAGGTAAATCAATATGCAGAAATACAGGCCCACTAAAAACAGACACATATGATACATTAATGAATAGTTCATAGCCATCTTCATGGTAGGGTAAGAGGATCAAGACATAGGGACAGAATTAGGTCATTTGGCCCATTGAGACTGTCCCACACATCAAAGGCTGATCTGATAATCCTCAACAACACTTTCCTGCTTTATCTCCATAATCCTTCATTCCCTTACTGATTAAAAATCTACCTCAGCCTTGAATAGACTTAACGACCCAGCCTCAACAGCTCTCTGCATTAAAGAATTCCACAGATTCATTACCCTCTAAGAGAAGAAATTCCTCCTCATCTCTGTCTCAAATGGGTGGCCATTACTCTTAGATTATACCATCTTGTCTTAGGCTCTCCTACAAGAGGAAATAACTTCTCCGCATTTACTTTGTCAAGTCCCTAAGAATCTTAAATGTTTCAATAAAGTCTTCTCTTTCATCCAAACTCCAGTGAGTACAATCCCAATCAACTTGTCATCTCCTCGTAAGAAAATCTCTCCATACCTGCAATGAACCTAGTGAACCTTCTCTGAATTGCCACCAATGCCAGTTTCCTTGGATAAGAAGCCCAAAACTATTCATGGTTTTCCAGCTGTGATCCGAGTAGTGCATTGTATAGTTTTAGGGAGACGTCTCTAATTTAATTCTCCATTCCCTTTTAAATAATTAAATACTTTGCCTGTGACCCACTGAACTGGGATGCTAGCCTTTTGTGATTCATACAGAACACTGGGAGGGTGTGTTCCAGCTTTCTGCAGTCTCTCTCCCTTTTAAATAATATTCAGATGAAATACTAGAAGTACAGGAGAATCCAAAATTAAGTCAAGGGAGGAAATTATTAGAATTTTCACAAGTAAGGCAATATTAATGAAGGAATCATAGAATAGAATCATAGAATCCCCACAGGGTGGAAGCAGGCCATTTGGCCCATCAATTCCACACTGCCACTCCAAAGAGGACCATCCCACCAAGACGCACCCCCCTACCCTGTCCCTGTAACCCTATAGTTCCCATAGTTCATCCAACTAGATGGGATTTTCAAAGTTCTAGAATGTCCTGGTTTCCATTCCAGGATATTAAAAGAAGCAAGTGTGAAAATTGATGTGTTGGTTATATTTTTTTAAAGCACTTAATATTCACAAATTGTATCTTTGGATTGTAAATGACAGTCCATTATTGAAATGGAGGGAGAAAACAAAAATTGTAGAGTTGAGAAAAGAGTCAGTTTTTAAATTTTATTCACTCACGGGATGAGGGCGTCACTGGCTAAGCCAGCATTTATTGCCTATCCCTAATTAACCAGAGGACAGGATGGCAGTTTCCCTCCTTACAGGGTATTCGTGAATCAGATGAGGTTTTTCCTGAAAATCGACAATAGATTGATGGTCATCATTAGACTCTTAATTCCAGATTTTTAACTTTTAATTAAAATTCCAACGTTGCAGGATTCGAACCCAGGTCCCCTGGACATTACCTGGTCTCTGAATAATATCACTAGGCCATCGCTTCCCCATCAGGAATATGGAAATATGAAGGACAAGTCAAGTCTCCATTTTTAGTTATATTTGTTTGAGGAAACAGCTAGCATGTTGAAGATTTTGTGATTCGGTGGGTAGTGTCCCTACACTCAGCCAGAAGCTCTAGGTTCAAGTTCAACTTCAGGACTTGATGGCCATAAAATCTGCGTCCATAATGCAGCCAAACATGGTGAGTATCAACTAGCAACAAATTCCACTAGTAGACCATAAGAACAGAGATCCCTGATCAGCCTTGTGAGGGAAAGAAATTGGAGCCACTACCATCACTATTTTTTATTTTAAAATTGTACTTTATTCATAAAGATCTTTATTTAAAACGTAGTCACTAAAGCGGTTTGATTCTGTACATTCTTTACATATGTAGAACAAACGAACCCAAGGCATTTCTTACTTATAGAAGACTGTATTTACATACATTTGAACTGACATCTTGGTCTATTCGTGGTGGTTGTCATGGAGCTGTGGGTCAGATCCCATGTCTAGAAGGCAGTGAACTCAAGAAGAAGAACTAGCATAGTAGATAGTTTACCTATGAAAATTGCCTTACAGGATACAGAACATATTAGCCAAAATTAGTGCACATGAACTTGGAGGTAACCTTCCATAGGAGATAATGGAAGTTCACTTTGGATATAAGTGTCTGGTGGTGTTCCTCCAAGATCTGTTTTGGGGGTCTTGGCTTTTCAATATATTTATCAAGGATTGTCAGAAGTCCTTGGGAATTGTGCATGAATAAACTAGGAGACGGCGCCATGAAGTACAGAGGGATGTAGATAAAATTAAGTGGCTGAATTATACAGTGATAAATATGGGAAGTATGAAGCAATCTTCGGATCCAAGAAATATAACAGAATATTTATTGGCAGAAAGATTACGGATGAAAGGCAAAAAAAAGTAATTGGAAAGGCTATTGATTTTTTTAAAAATCTGAAATTGGAGGTAATACCAGAGGTTACACAACGTTGTTCAGAGCCTTAATCAGTCCATCTGGGGTATTCAAGGACTCCATTTGAAGTTCAGTTTCAGGTACTAAATCTGGCGTAGCCAGGCCAAATCACCAAAACAATCCTGGGGATTCACAAATTAAAGCAGGAAGTACAAACTGCTTGCAGCCTCCCATTGCAGGGTTAAATAACTTTGATTTTTATTAAAGAAAGATGGAAATGATAAACCTGTTTGAGGCACGGATTACAATATACCAGCAGGTCGGCTCGTTCTCACAGGCTGCATTTCCACATCTTGCGAGCCAGATTTAGGAAATTGCTCGGGCTTTTTTTTTTGAAGTGTTATTACGCGAGCTCAGGTAGAGAGTGATTGGCTGGAGTCGGAGTCAGTGAGGAAATTACACCATCCGTCCCGGGCCGCGGAAAGCAGGGCGGAGGGGCGGGGGAATATTACTAACATAACAGTCAGAAGCACCAGGCTACTAAAGGATCGCAATAATGCCTTACGTCCTCATCAGCACTCAGATCCGACTGGTAAGTAAATGTGCACGTTGCATATCGTGTGTGCGCACGGGATGGGGCTCGTTTGCACTGGGGTCGTCAGCAAGGCACCAATTCTTGCTCAGGTCTCCTCCTGCACAGCCTGCAGAAATAGCGTTTGTCCCCGACTCCAACGCCGGGATTTATCTGTCCCGTGGAGCTGGTGTTCAATCACCATTCACGCCGAGGAATGGAATATGGACGGGAAGTAGGAAGGGTCGCTAGACCCGAAACGATAACTGTGTTTTCTCCTTCACAGATGCTGCCAGACCTGCTGAGCTTTTCCAGCAACTTATGTTGTTGTTCGTGATTTACAGCATCCGCAGTTCTTTCGGTTTTAATTGGGAAGTAGGAAGTGTCTGATGTGAGTCGGAAGCTTCTCGCACTCATAGTCAAAAGTACCATCTTGGCCCGAAATAAATGACCGAAGTTGACCTAATGTTCGGAATTATTTTGTTCTGATCCCACCAAATCCTAAGTACTTAAAGACTGAAATTGACAATCCAGGCGCAACTAGCTGGAGAAGTGGTACCTGCTAACTTAACCAAACATTAATTGTCATGCGGACAGACTGATTCTTTAAGTGGTGGCTAAGCCAGACCACAGCCAACATTGGCAAGATCATAAGTATCCGGTTTCTCTTCAGTTAAAACTATACTGCAGCCTCTAATACCAATCCTCCTTGGTATCTACTCAAATATATAGTCTTGGTACTGAGGTCAACCATTCTGCCACCAACATTCAGTCCAGAGCTAAGATGGTATTCACCTCAAAGTCGATAACCCCGTATGACGCCGTTTCTCATCCACAGTGCTCTTAAAATTGCTTTTTGTTTTGCTACTGTGGCTTAACTTTTCCAAAATACAGTGTCATACAGGACGAAAACAGACCTTTTGGCTCCTCGTCCATGCTGATCAGATGTCCTAAACTGAATTTGTCCCATTTGCTTGCATTTGGCCCATATCCCTTTCAACCTTTCCAAATATCCATTTACCTTTCCAAATGTCTTTTAAATATTGTAATTTTACTCACTTCTACCACTTCCTCTGGCAGCTCATTCTATATATGCAGCACACTGTGTAAACAAAAACAAAGTTGCTGGAAAAGCTCAGCAGGTCTGGCAGCAACTGTGAAGAAAAAAAATCAGAGTTAACATTTTCAGGTCCAGTGACCCTTTGTCAGAAATACAACTCACATTCTGTGTGAAAATGTTGCCCCTCAGGTTCCTTTTAAATCTTTCCCCTCTCACCTGAAACCAATGCACTCTAGTTTTGGACTGCCCCACCCTGGGGAAAAGACCTTGGCTATTCAACTTATCTAGACCCCTCATGACCTTATAAACATCTATAAGGTCACCCCTTGGCATCCAACTCTCCAGGTCAAAAAGTCCTAGCCTATCCAGCCTCTCCTTATAACTCAAACCCTCCAGTCTTGGTAACATCCTTGTAACTCTTTTTTTGCACCCTTTCCAGTTTAATAACATCCTTCCCATAGTAGGGCGAACAAAGTTCTACACGGTACTCCAAATGTGGCCATACCAATGTCTTGTACAGCTGTAACATGACATTTCAACTCCTGTACTCAATCCTCTGACTTATGAAGGCAAGCTTGCCAAATGCCATCTTCACCAAGCAGTCTAGCTGTGACACCACTTTTAAGGAACTATGTACCTGCACCTTTATGTCTATCTGTTTGATAACACTTCCCAGGACCCTACCATTAACTGTACAAGTCCTGCCCTGGTTCGACTTTCCAAAATGCAACACCTCGTATTTATCTAAAAATCCATCTGCCGTTCCTCAGCCCACTGGCCCAGTTGACCAAAATTCCATTGTATTCTTAGATAACCTTCTTTACTGTCCACTATACCACCAATTTTGGTGTTACCTGCAAACTTACTAACCATGCCTCCTATATTCTCATCCGAATTGTTTATATAAATGATGAGCAACAGTGGACCCAGCACTGATCCTTGTGGCACACCGCTGGTCACAGGACTCCAGTCTGAACAACAATTCTCTAGCACCAGTAGCTCAGGCAGATTGTTCTAATTCTGAATTAAGCCTCGTTTTCCCCTCCCCATTCATCCATGTTAAATGTCACTGCTTCGACATACTGTGCAGTGAAATTGTGTTTTGCTTCTGTAGCAAAATTCTTTTTTATCATTCCTTTATTTGGCCTTGGCCCCGAACAGTCAGAACTGCTAAGTCACAGTTCTCTTAAAAATGTTAAAAGGTTAAATCTTTTTATGTGGACAGATTATTAGCCTAGGCCACCAGTCTCTCCCATATAACCTTGTCCTTTTCCCAGTTTTCAGTGATGCCCAGACTAGTGTTGCAAACATTGCCCTCTCAAACTACCCTCCATTGCTCTTTAGCTCCCAACCTTTGCAACATTGCAGCATTATCTTCCTATCTGCTTCATTCACACCTTCAGTTCAAGTTAGCTGCACCTGGCTCTATTTGTCTGCTCTGCTGTTGGCACCTGCCTTACTCTCCTGTTCTGAAACTAATATTTCAAGATAGTGAAGCTTAAGAATATTTCAAAAGCCTTCATAAACCCAATTGCTTTTGGAGGGGCCTGGGGGGAAATTGGCTGGCATTGTATACAAGCCTTCAGAACAAACAGGACTACTTCAGAAAGTAAATTTTCAAATACAAATTTTGCAATAATGTTACTATAATGTTAAATGCTAATATAAAATAGTATGACTACCATTAATCTCAAAACTTAAGTGAAGAAAATAAATTAGAAAAAGTCTCATCAGATGAAAAAACTCTAAAATACAATGTCCAAAGGCTAGTTATGAGTGTTCATAGAATTCCTACTGTGTGGTGACAGGCCCTTCGGCCCAACAAGTCCACACCGACCCTCACAGCATCCCACCCAGACCAATCCCTCTGTAACTCACCTAATCTACACATCCCTGAACACTATGGGCAATTTAGCATGGCCAATCCACCTAGTCTGCACATCTTTGGACTGCGGGAGGAAACTGGAGCACCCGGAGGAAACCCACGCTGACACAGGGAGAACGTGCAAACTCCACATAGACAGTTGCCCAAGGCTGGAATCAAACCTGTGTCCCTGGTGCTGTGAAGCAGCAGGTCTAACCACTGAGCCACCGTGTGCAATTGGTTTATCAATAACTAATTCTATCCACTGCAATATGCCGTGAACATGCAAAATCACTAACCAGCCGCACTGGTTTCTACTGATTAAATTGTGCAACTGACCAGCTTTAAAATAAACGCCCATTAATTTTATGGTTTTTAAGTGATCTAATTTGCCTTGTTTTGAGAGACGGCCTGGTTTATTTTGAGCAGGAAAAATTCCCTTTTAATGTGCAATTAATCAATGCATTTGGTTTCACTGGCAGTTCCAATAAGAAGTGGGAAAATACTGTTACAGTTTTAATAAATGTCTTCGATATGCTGTGTCCTAGGGCCCCTTTCAAGATTTAAAACTACCCTACTGTTCTCCCATGACTCCCAAGTGCTGCCTGACTGAACTCAGTTGACCAACTAGTGCAGTGGATTTACCCAATGGGCCAACAGGAGAGGCAGAATACCTTCAAATTTAATCACCTTGTCAAAACTATTTTGTAAGTTCTTGCTATGTTATGAATGAATTGGATGTTAGTCATGAAATTAAGCAGCTCAGTAGGTCCACTTCCTTGTCTTTTCTACGTCACCCAGCAAATTTCTCCTTTTCAAGTGTTTATCCAATTCCCTTTCGATAATAACTAGTGAATTTGCTTCCAACAGACTTTAAGGCAGTGAGTTCCAGTGGGTTGAGGCCTTGAAGGGATTTGATATCAATGATGACACATCATAAATTGTGACATTTTTCAAGTGGGAGCTGACTTGGCAGTGAACTGCGTAATAGGTGAACAGACTTGGTGCGAGTTAGAATTTTGGATGAGCTTATCTTTATACAGGATGAGAGATGAGATAACGACAAGAAATATTTTGGAATGATTGAGTTCATTGCAACAAAGTGGTAGCAACATATTGACAGGGACACCTTGTTTCAAGGGTGGAAGTAACATGGTCTTAGTGATAATGTTGGTGTGCAATCAAAGCTTGTTTGAAATCAGGTATGACACCATGTTCATGAGCAGTTTGGTTCTGCCTCTGACAGCTGCTAGGCTGAGGGATGGAGTATGTGGCGGGGACCAGTATGCACTTCCTTAATATTTAGTTGAAGGAGATTTCTGTTCATCTAGTGCTGGATGCTGGACAGGTAGACTGACAACTTACAAATGGTAAAGTGGTCAAAAGGGGTGGGAGACAGAGAAATTTAGAGGTCATCAGGGTACATATGGAATCTGACCTGTTTTTGAATGATGTAACCAGGGAACAATATTACGTAAGGAAAAAGATGGAATCAAGGACAGATAAACACCCCGGACAACAGTCTGGGAGCAGAAAGAAAAACCAGTACAGGCAATTCTCTGTCTACGTTTAGATAGAAAAGCGGAACTAGGTAAGAACAGTTGCACCCAGCTAGATGATGAGGCATTGGTGGAGGAGTAAGATAGCTCAGTTAACTCTTTTAAAAGGATGCAGATAGATTGAGAAAAGTGAGGACGGGGGTATAGTTTACCACGGTCACAGTCACATCAACTGTCATCTTTGATGTTTATAAGGGTTATTTTGATACTGTGGTCGGGCCAAAAACCTCATTGGTAGGATTCAGGCTTGGAGTTCAGTAAAAGCTGGGCACAAATTTGGAAGAGGCTGGAGGACGTTGAGGACGGTTTACCAGAGCAATGTGTTCAATCGTTTGTATTTTGCAGAAAGTGATGATGATGATGATTTGAAGCAGCTTCGCATGGTGTGGTTTAAATCAGTTTGGCAGTCACATCAATGAGCAATAATGGAGTTCTTGGTTTTGTCTTTTTACTAGTACCTGCTTGGAAGTAATGGAAGAATTTCGAGTCTGATTGAATGTTGCCAGGATACAGCATTAATACTCCTCCCCTGTCCATAACCATCCATATACTCACACAGACAGAGGGCTTTATGAACTTCCACCAAAAGAGGAAAGGGCACCCCCGCTCTTTGTCAACACAGAATTCTGATATCTGCAGTCGTTATGGATGGATCTTCTGAGTTGGAAGTGGAAATATCGCCACTAAATGAAAGTTTTAGGACAAAGAGTGCCTTACCAGACAGAGATTGCAAAATTGCAGTCCAAAATAACTTTTAAGTAGATACCATAAACGGTAAATATTTTGAAAAAACATCAAAAAGTGTACGAAGCAAAAGGCAGGGAAAATAGATCTAGTAGGAACAAGAGTTAGCTCCTTGACCAAAATTCATTCAGTTCCTTGAGTGCTTTTTCTATCTTTCTGACAGCTTTAAATGATTTCTGTATTCTGACTGCCAAGGCTCACTGCTCATCTACGTTTCTGAATTTCTCATTTTAGAAACATTCCGATTTGTCTTTGTTTTATTTGGTTAAGTGGATGACCAACACTGAATATCAATTGATGTGATTTTGCTCAGTCAATTTGTCTGTATCCACTTGCAACTTCCTGTTTCCAGCTACATTACTTACAAATTTAACCTGATTTGCACCCAACTGAAAACATGATGCACAACTCTCTATTCCTGTTGATAAATAATGTGAAAAATTGAAGCCCAAGGCAATGGCATTCAATCAGAAAACCTACTTTTTATTCTCTCTCGCTGTTTCTTACCATCCATCCAGTTTCTAGCCCACATTAAAAAAAACTATCTCCAATTCCATGTGTTCTATTCGTAGCAACTAACCTCTTTCATGCAGCCGTACTGAATCCCTGTTATATTGTTACCAACACAGTGGAAAGTAACAATACAGTGATGTTTCTACGGGAAGTCTTTGTTTTAAACAGCTAGCTCCTTGCATTTCCTCCTACACTTAGTCTAGGATTTATTGTAGGTAAACTTCAAACTGAATTTTGAATCAATGGATGGTGTTGCTTTTAATACAAAAATAGGTCATTTACAAATCACCTCTTTATAATATTGTTATATTTCTTAACTAATGAGTGACTAAGTTTATTTGATTTCCTGATTATTTATATTATTTAGTGTATAATCTGCTGAACGCAAATGTTTCTGAAGATGTCACCCATCTGCTCTTCCATTGTAAGACACATAGAAACATCACTGTATTGTTACTTTCCACTGTGTTGGTAACAATACAACAGGGATTCAGTATGGTTGCATGAAAGAGGTTATTTACATTATTTAGTGCATAATCTGCTGATATGCTGAACACAAATGTATATGAAGATGTCACCCATCGGCTCTTCCATTGTAAGACAATTATCGCTCCATATAATTGATGATTATTCTATACAAAGTACAAAATATATTGTTAAAGAATTCATTGTACATTGTATTTATAATATAAACTGCATTAACTCCGTTTTGCTTTATAAAGATATCAATAAGCCTGGAACTAAAAATGAGAACTGGTGACCATGAAACAACTAAGAACATGACTTGCCAAGCCTTGTTTGACAGCAGCTTTCAAACATTTGACCTCTATCACCTAGAAAAAAATCTGTCATCCTTACCTGGTCTGGCCTGCGTGTGAGTCAAAAGCACAAAGTGTGATTGACTCTTAACTGCCCTTTGAAATTGGCCTTGCAAGCTACTCAATTTAATCAAACTGCTACACAAAATGCAAATAGGAATAAAACCAAATGGATCATCCAGTATTAATGTAGATGCTGGAAACAACAATTGCAAGACATACTCAAACTTCCTTATTAACAGCTGAGGGCTTGTGACAAAATTGGAAGAACTGTCCCACATATCAGTCAGGCAACAACCTGACATAGTCGTACTCACTGATTCATGACTTACAGACAATGATCCAGACAACATCATCTTCATTCCTCTGTTCGTCCTATCCCACCAGGATAGACACACACCAGAGATGGCAGCACAGGGGAATTCAGCAAGAGTATATTGCCCTGAGAGTCCTCAACCTGACTCCAGTCCCTATGAAGTTTCATGGCATCAGGTCAAGCACCGGAATCAATAACAATTAACATCTACTGCCCTTAACTGGTGAATCAGTGTTCCTCCATGTTGAACATCCTTGGAAGAAGCTCTGAGGGCAAGAGGATGGAATGTATTCTGGTTAGAGGAACTTCAACACCCATCATCAAGAGTGGCTTGGTCACACCTTTGTTGGCCAAGCTGGTGAAGTTCTGAAGGAGATATCTGCCAGACTTGCACTGTGGCAAGTCATGAGAAAACCAACAAGAGGTAAACCAATTAATAACAATAATAACCAATAAACCTCGACCTGCAGCAAGTCCATCTGTCTCTGCCAGTATAATTGTCATTGTCATAGTCCTGATGGAGACAAAGTCAGGCCTACACTCTTGTTGATAGACAGTATCCATTTGTCTATCACTGTCACAGTGCTCAATGGGATAGATTTGTACCACAATACTAGCTGAAATTTGGGCAGTCATGAAGTGCCATCAACCATCAACTCAGCAAAATTATATCCAACCCAACCCTGGTTTGATGCAAAGTGCAGTAAAACATTCTATGAGCAGCATCAGGGCAGCACGGTGGCTCAGTGGTTAGCACTGCTGCCTCACAGTGCCAGGGACCCGGGTTCAATTCCACCCTTGGGTGACTGTGCAAACTCCACACAGACGTTCTCTCCGTGTCTATGTGCGTTTCCTCTGCGTGCTGTGGTTTCCTACCACAGTCCAAGGATGTGCAGGTTAGGTGGATTGGCAATATTAAATTGCCCATAGTGTCTAGGGTAGGGGGTGGGTCTGGGTGGGATGATCCTCAGAGATCGGTGTGGACTTAATGAGCCAAATGGCCTGCTTCTACACTGTAGGGATTCTATTCTAAATGACGTTATGGTGAAACGGGTAGTGTAATGTCATTAATTTAGAAATCCAGAGACCAAGCACGTTAAATGTTCTCACGTTGTGACTGCAAAGTACCTGTACCTGCACTGCTGGGCTCTTGTGGCACCGTGGTAGTGTCCTTACCTCATGGCAATATGGTTTGGGTACAAATCCCATACAAAGGTATCTAGAAATTGCAACAGGGATTTCTTGTGGCTCAGTGGTAGTGTCCCTACCTCTGAAACAGGAGGTCCAGGTTCCAAGTCCTACCTGTTCCAGAGGTGTGTCATAACATTGGTGGCACAGTAGTAATGTCACAGATCTAGTAATGTAGAACCCCACGTTATTATTCTAGAAGACACTGGTTCAAATCTCACCATTGTAGATGGGGAAATGATGACTCTTGAGGAACGGTGGTAGTGTCCCTACTTCTCAACCAGGAGTGGAATTACACCACACTCGAGTTGCACCTGCCCCAGAGATTTATCATAACAGATCTGAAAAGTTTGATGAAAAGAGTTGGGGACCCAATAGAATATCTCAAAATTTGCGCAGTTGGACTGAGTTGTGAGGAAGATGGAAAGCAGCTTCAGAAAGATTTGAACAGTTTTAATGAATGGCAAGAACATGGCAGATGGAATTAAGTGTGGAAAATTGTGAGGATATCCATTTTGATGGAAGAAAGAGATGTACAGAGTATTTCTTAAATAACAAGAGTTTGGACAGTGCAGATGTGAAATGAACCTAGGTGTCCTTATTCGTCGATCAGTAAAGGAAAACATACTGGTACAGCAAGCTATTAGGAAGGCTAATGGACTGTTAGCCTTTATTGTAAGAAGATTTGAGTACAGGAGCAGTGACGTCTTGTTTCAATTGTCTCAGAGCTTAGTTAGACTGCACCTTGAGCAATTTTGGTCTCCTTTCCTCAGGAAAGATATTATTGCCAGAGATCGAGTTCAATGAAGGTTTACCAGACTTGTTCTTAGGATGGCAAGACTGTCCTATGAAGAAAGATTAGGCAAACTGGGCCTGTATTCTCCAGTGTTTCAAAACATGAGAAGCAATCTCATTGAAACCTGGAAAATACCTAAAGGGATAAACAGGATAGATTCAGGTAAGATGATTTCCTTGGTTAGGAGGTCTATAACTAGGGGACACACTTTTAAAAAAGAGGGGATGTCAATGATTATGTTGAAGGTAGAAATTGATTGCCAGTAGCTGACGGGGTTATTGGAATGGGATGGGTATAAGGCATAGAAGTGGTTGATCAGTTATGGTCAGCTGTTGAAAGGCAGCGTAGAGTCGATGGTCTGAACGGATTACTCCTGTTCCCTTGTTTTCCTCAGTTACTTGATTTGTGCTGGGTGTGGGTCCACAGACACTGCTAGCCCCTCCTGTACTGCATTCATTACAGCATTATTTACGTGTGACCCAGGTGTCTATGTGTTGACAGGCTATTTGATAGTCAGGGGCATCATACAAGTGTGATCTCCTGCTGGAGTCATTGGACAGAGATGAGCAGTCAGAATCCTGTTATAATTCTTTCCACCTCCCCAACTTTATTCTGCCTGCCCACACCACCCTCCCCCAACCTTACTGTACTCCAACTGATAATGCTGATTTCAACCGTAAAGGTGTAGTGGTAATTTCATTGGATAGTAATCAGACACCCAGGCTAATGTTCTGAGGACCTGAATCCCACCATGGCAGATGGTGACATTTTGAATTCAATAAAGGATTGGGAACAAAAGACTTGTCTGATGGCCGTCACGTAACCATTGCTGATTGTTGTAAAAACCCATCTGGTTCACTCATAGCTTTGATGGAAGGAAATCGCCACCCTTCCCTGGTGTAGTCTACATGTGACTTCAGACCCACAGCAATATGGTTGAGTCTTAACTGCCCTATGGACAGGACAGGAAATGCTGTGCTGGCCAGGCTCATCAAAATCACATGAATGGCTAACATACCTGATCTACATATCCCTGAACACTATGGGGCAATTTAGCTTGGCCAATTCACCTAACCTGCACATCTTTGGACTGTGGGAGGAAACAGAAGCACCCAGCAGAAACCCATGCAGACATGGGGAGAATGTGCAAACTCCACACAGATGACCCAAGGGTGGAATTGAGCCCAGGTCCCTGGCACTGTGAGGCAGGGCAGCAGTGCTAACCACTGAGCCACAATGCCTCCCTAACTCCCCATCCTAATGCAGCGGGAGGGGAGAGAATATGAATCATGTTCAAGCAATTTCAGAAGTAATAATGTCTCTGTTTTATAGGAAACTGGGCCCACAATTGTGGGGGACGAGCACTCGGATGAGGAGCTTATGAGATACCTTGGAGCTGAGAAAACTATTGCATTTGGAAGTAACTTGTGAGTAAGGGTGTGTCAGAGCACTTCATTTAGGTCTTCAGCTGAGATTTTTGGCAGGGGAAAACTCTCATTTATTGTTGTGTCTCACGCCCGAAAAACAGTTGGAAAATGGTTAAAAGGCTTTACAATCGGTCTTGCTGAGTTTCTCCAGAAATTCTCATTTTTTAATGTCAAAAGCATTTCTGTTGTACTTAATTCTATTTATGCATTTTAAAACACTCGGGCACATTCAATGCCTAGATGTGCCTTTGCTTGTTCAAAAACTGAACAAGTTAATGATTGGTTTCAATATTAATATAAATTTCTAATCAGAAAGTTTAAGTCATTCGTCATTTTAAGATCAGCATATTAGAAAGGAGTGTCCCTTGTACCAGTTGACAAAAAGGAATATTAAGAGCTGAATGGACATGAAAAGGATCTAAAAATACCCTTGGGTCATGTGCATGTGAGAGCATGTGCAGCTGTGCACAAATGGTGTGTATGTCAGTATCTGTGTGTGCAAGCACATTTGCGCGTGTCTGCATTTGTGAGATCACGTGTGTCAGAATGAAAAGAGAGAACGAATGAGTGAGAAATAACGAAGGGAGTGAAATACACTCCCATCTCCCAATTAACAGCCATTCAGGTAGTAACCTGCCTTCTTGTTTTTGCTTCCGAAATGAATAACGTCCCATTTATCCAGACTTTTATACTGCATCTGCCATTGATGTGCCCACTCACCCAACCTGTCGAGATCATGCTGAAGGATCTCTGCGTCCTCATCACAGTTCACGCCCCAACCACCCAATTTGCTAATATTGGTGTACATCTTGTTTACTTTAGCAACACATACCTTTATCCCAAAATTTCTAGGAAATATACCTGGTACTCGTGTCTAAATTGCACCATGAACAGATGATTTGTTGTAGTTAAAAGGGTGCTACTCTACCCTTAATGACTTCAAAAGCACAAGTGTGCTTTTTTTCTGTCTCTATTTTGACTCCTTCTGTTTTCCTTATACTTACTGCACTGAATGAGTCTCTGCTCCACCACAAGTTATAAAATGGGTAATAAAAGACCTCTTCTGGATAGGTTCTGTTTAAGAAGCAAACCCTGATTAAATAGTTGTAGTGCCATTCAAAATAAGTCAACAACTGGTGTTTATGAAGTAATTGTGATGTATTTTTATGGTTGCTTACTGCATAGCAAATCACTTATAAAATCTTGAGTGGCATGGATAGGCTGAATAGCAAAGATCTTTTTCCCAGGGTAGCAGAGCCCAAAACTAGGGGGCATAGGTTTAAGGTGAGAGAGGTAAGATTTAAAAGGGACACAAGGGCAGCTTTTTCACGCAGAGGGAGGTGCGTGAATGAAGTGAACTGCTAGAGGAAGCAGTGGAGGCTGGTACAATTACAACATTTAAAAGGCATCTGTATGGATATATGAATAGGAAGGGTTTAAGAGGGATATGGGCCAAGTGCTGGCAAATGGCACTAGATTAATTTAGGATATCTGGTCGGCTTGGACGAGTTGGACCGATGGGTCTGTTTCCATGCTGTACAGCTCTGTGATTCTATGATTCTATGATTCTATAAGGGAAGGAAGGAGGTGGGGCAGTGGTCAGGGACATGGATTCAATTCTAGCCTCGGGTGACCGTGTGGAGTTTGCACATTCTCCCTGTCTCTACGTGGGTTTCTGCCGGGTGCTCTGGTTTCCTCCCACAGTCCAAAGATGTGCAGGATAGGTGGATTGGCCAGGCTAAATTACCCATAGCATTCAGGGATGTCTAGTTTGGGTGTATTAGCCAAGGGAAAATACAGGGATGGATAGGGGGTTGGGTCTGGGTGGGACGCTGTTTGGAGGGTCGTTGCGGACTTGTTGGGCTGAATGGCCTGTTTCCACAATGTTGGGGAGTGGTTTCTATAATGCTGGAATCTCCCAGTACTTGCATACTAGATGAAAGATACTAGATACCTAGGATTTCCCAATACTAGAAGGGTCAAGTACACAGCAGCTCATGTCTGCCATGGGCTAAGGCAGTCAGTTAGTTTGTGCTGCTGGACCAAGCCACCTTGTTCCTCTCCCTTGGACTTCACATCCATTTCCTCCACAGTTCTCTCCGTGGATATTACACCTGGTTAGCCTCAGCCAGACTGGATAGTAAGAGGTCCAGGCACCCAAGAACACATGATAGCAGAAAACTCATAGATAGGGAGTGAGAGAAAGAGGGATCTTAGGCAGGTAGGGAGTGGAGGGGTAGGGGGAAGCAGTGAGAGGAATTTAATGCAGGAGATATTTTAGGAAAGGGAATTGAAGCAGGTAAAGAGTGGGGGCGTGTGATAGAAGGATTTGAGGCAGATTGAGAAAGGGGTGGGAAAAGGATTTGGGGATACTGGGGGTTTGAGGCATTGGAATAGTGGTAATATAACTGAGTTAGTAATCCAGAGACCCTTTCTAATGTGTTGGAAATACAAGTCCAAATCCTACCATGTCAATTTGTTAAAACTTATAGTTCATTTCTTAAAAAAAAATTCAGAATTGAAATCTAGTCTTGATAATGGTGACCTTGAAAATATCAATGATTGTTGTATGACCCTACCTGTTTCATTAATGTACCTTAGGAAAGAAAGAATGTACCTTAAGAAAGAAAAACTGCTATCCTTACCTTGTTTAGACCCACAGTAATGTAATTCGTTCTTAACTGCTTTCAAAGAAAATTAAGAAAGGGCAACAAATGCTGGTATTTCCAGAGACGCCCCTATTCCATGAAAGAATGACAAAAAGAAAGGATATGAGGTAGGATGAGAGTAAAGGTGGAGGATTTTGGGTGTTTGTAGCTTGGAGGGAATTGGGGACACAAAGGTATTTGAAGTAGTGAGGTACAAGCCAAACAAGATAGAGGATCTAAGTGGTTTGGTATGACATACTGCAGAATTAACCACTGCCAGCTAATGGTTGGGGTGTACAGTACTGCTAGCAATCTTCTGTTCTTTCCTGTTTTGGGACTTGAACCTGGTCCTCCTGGAGCAGGGGTAGAGACACTACTACTGCAGCACAAGAGTACTGCACAACCATAGGAAGTGAATGGTGGAAGGTTTGAAGTCGTGTTTTGGGTAAACATTGTAAGCTATGGTGAAGTATCAAGACATTCAGATAGACACTGGATTATTTTGGTATTATTAAGAGGAAGACATTTTCATAATGTAGACCAAACCGGTCAGTTTGGGGGAGGGCTGATGAAGAAAAAGTGCATTCTAACTAGTTAATTTCATTTCAACTCCAAAACATTAGTAATTAACTGCCGACTTTAACATACCATCCTGAAAATCACAACATACTAATGATTTTGATTTTTATCTCATGGCAGGAGTTAATTATTTTCGATATGTAAACAACATGGGTACTCACAAAGATTACCATCATTGTGCAAATTGCATTTCAACAGAGACATGAATTGGAAGCTCAGCTAATCTTGTATATATTAGGGATTAACTATAAACAGCTCCATTTGCGTCCTAAATGGAGGATAGAATCCCATTACCACCCAGTTCTTCCCGAGCTCAGTGACAGAAAGTGACTGAATCCACTACAGTTGATCAAACGATGCGTGCAACTATCCCAGTAAACTCTGCATTACACCAAAATATAGAATCTCTTCAATTATACACAATGATTTATCAAATTAACCAGGAAGAATAGAGTTACGGACAACACGGTATGGAGCTGGAGGAACACAGCAGGCCAGGCATCATCAGAGG